AGATATTCCTCCGTGTGTGTGTGTGTGTGTGTGTGTGTGTGTGTGTGTGTGTTTAGAGCACAAAAATGAAGATCAGAAGACAACTTGCCGGAGTGAGTTATTTCCCTCTACCATATGTGGGTGGGGGATGGGACACATATTGTCAGTCCTGTTCACATGAATGAGTCCATCTCACCAGACTATTCATTTTTTACATATTTAAGACAGGGTCCCATGTATCTCAGGCTGGCTTCAAACTCACTACATAGGTAAGGATGGCTCTGAACCTCTGACCCTCCTGCCTCAATCTCCTGAATCATGGGATTTAGAAATTCAAGGTAACGATGTCTGTACATTCTCCACTCAGATGAAAATGGCATCCTCTAATTAATGGAAGACACACAAAGAAAGGGACTATGAATGGCTTTTACTTATGACTATTATATGTCTGTGGCAAATAAAATACTCAACATATAATAGACAACCAATGGATATTGGTAGAATAAACTACCAATCCATCACTCTGGCTTAACGTGGATTCTATGTCACTGGCTATAAGTACAGATAAAAATCAGTTTACCAAGGGCAGTGGCAAGTTAGTCTTCAAACAAATATCTATAAATATATCCTTTCAAAAATATCTTAAAGGTCCAGCCATGGTAATCTTTCTAACCTCATTTCTAGAGAGGCTGGAGCAGAGAGATCCCGAGTGATGGGCCAACCTGAGCTACATACTGAGACCCTGCCTCAATACAAAACAAAACAAAACAAAATACTGCAGAAGAGACCCTGGAGCTTCCAAGCTCAGAATGGAGCAGAAAAAATAGGAAAAGATGAGAAATGTCAGAGTTTCAAGGCAGATCAAACACTTAAGGGCAATATTTAACTAATAGTGGGGAGTGTAGAAGAAAGTGTGACCCCTGGAGAAATTAGTGAGGTGACATAGAACAGACAAAATGGACGATCCCAATGCTCTTTGTCTGGCTACTTAAAGGATTTAGAGTTGACATAAACAAATAATTCATCCTATGGTAGAGAGAGGGTGGGAAACAAAAGGAACAAATTTTGTACAACTATCTCTTTAAATGTACATGATATTCAGTGAGAGGAGCGTACATATATTTTGATATTTAAAATGACCTTGGGTTTCTTCCACTCTGAAAGGAGTTGATTTGTAAGAAATATAGAATTTCTTAAGCTAAATGTCATTGTTATTTTTCTCCAACCATCTAATAAGCATGATTTCCAGGCTGGTTTTCTTTTCTTTTCTTTCTTTCTCTCTCTCTCTCTCTCTCTCTCTCTCTCTCTTTCTTTCGTTTGTTCGTTCTTTCTTTTCCTTCCTTCCTTCCTTCCTTCCTTCTTTCCCTTCCCTTCCCTTCCCCTTTCTTCCTTCCTTCCTTCCTTCCTTCCTTCTTTCTTGAAGGGTATTTTAGTTTCTGATTATTTTCTTCAAATTAAACTTGATGTTTCCCCTTCTCATAAAACAGCACACATACATATAGTAGTGTTGTCCAGAATACTAGTCTCATGTTCAAAAGTACTCCCAAGTAAGCACATTACATGAAGTCTCCAATTAAGGGGCAAAGCTCAAACTAAACAATAATGCTCTAGTGCAAAATATGTAGGCATGGAAGACGACACAATACACACTCAATCAAAGTAGCATGCACAGCTCTATTCACAGGATTGAGGATATCCATACCCAGATAATGTGCCTAGAGAAAGGAAAGACTATACAAACACCCAAAGGAAATATAAAGTTATGAATGCAGGTCCCTGTTTAAGTTTGCAATTGTGCCCTTTTTCACTACATGCAAATAAAATATAGATGAGTCTTCAAATGATTTTTTCTTTCTCTTAGATTACAATGTCATCTACAAATAATTTTTAAAAACATAATATAAAAGTGAGCATGGTGGGGTGAAGGCAAAAAAGGTACTTTGCTTTTCTTATTTTCATGCTAGGCTCATGAAGGTTACTATGGAAAATGAAGCATATGGTGCTCTCTATACTACTGAAAAGTGGTTTAAATGTATGTGTTTGAGCTAAGAAAGACACACAGTTTTTTTAAATTTAATTTTTGGCTGTAACACGGTTTCCAAAATGCAATGTTTTTTCTAGTAAGAACACTCATACTTTTGGAAATATTAAAAAAAGAAACAAACTTCTTTTTGTGTCTTGAGGACTTATGCTTCTCTGGGGGAAATAAACAGATTCTTCACATGCATGTATAGGCAACAAAACCGAGGTGTGACTCTGAGGGCTTGGAAGAAGCCTGGTAAAGCTGAGAGGCTCTGAGCACGTGAGACTGTCTGCCCACATGCCTTCTACTTCCGCGCTTGCTCAGTCCTTTTACACACACTCCAGAAAGCATGTCGTTCTTCTGAAAACTAACTTTAAAAGTCCATCCGCTAGAAGACTGGAATCGACATAGCTAAAATAGTTGGGAATTTAGTGAGATTTGAAAATACCTCCAATCCAGGGTCTTTCCATGAGCCTCTTATTTTCTCCAGTTCTGTTTTACTCATCTTGATTTATTCAAAGTTTACAGAGTTGCAAAACTCTGTGACTGGCTTTTATTTTATTCTTTTATTTTACAGACAGAGGTTTTGATATATTGCCCAAATTGGCCTGAAACTTACATTGATCCTTATCTCTTATCCTCCCAAGTTCTGGGATTCTCAGCAGAAATGGCTAGGTCCAAGGTGCCTGCAGTTTCCATAAGCTCCTCATTCCTTCTGGGAGGAGTCCAATTAAAAATGCAGGTCTCAGGCTGAAATGTTCTCTCTCTCTCATATTAATAATGATAAACTTAGTGTCTCCTTCCACATCTCTGAAAATACTGGCAACCCAAAGTGCTCAGGTAGCAAAAGCATAAATTCCTATACTGATCCTTAAGTACCTCCCGTCCTTCGGAAAGAGTCTCTCTTCAGAAGAATACAGAATGCTCCACCAAAGAAAGAGTTTAAAAATAATAACAGTAGTAATAACTAGCAGCAAAAAGCCACACATGCTACCACCATCACAACAGAACAGCAATGGAGCACCCTCGTCTATGCCTATGCAACATTTTACTTTAATTCCAATATCATGTGATCGGAGCAGATATTTCCGACTTGACACCCATTTTTTCCACCAAGGAGCCAGCATTCAGTCATTTCTAAATGTCTTCATTTTTATTCTTTTGAGACAGGGTCCCTTGTATCTCAGTGTGGCCTCAAACCTCCTATGTAACGGAGGGGGACTTGAACTTCTGATCCTCTTGCCTCCACCCACCATGCCAGTTTTTTTTCCAGTTCTAGGAATCAACCCCCGTGTTTCATGCATGTTAGGCAATCACTTACCAATTTAGCTATATCCCCAGCCCTAGATTTCTGTTGAATTCTACCCACTATATTTTGTCTTGGTCATTCTGGGACAGAATGGACATCTATTCTGTCACTGACCTTTCTGAAGTATTCCTCTCCCTTTCTTCTTTAAACTGAAGGACTCTGGAACTGTGTGAATTAACAAAACAAAACAAAACCAAACCTTTCATCGTGCGTTGTTCAAAAAATGCACACAACAAAAACTTGTGTGGGTCTGGTTTCTCTTTGTGGTTTGGACATTTTCATTGAGCCTATACCCGGCCTTGTAGGTCAGTAAAGAAAAGTCAAGGCTAGAGGATTCCCTCACCCAGAACCTTTGTGCTGGCTCCTTCTGTCTCTCCATAGGAGGAACGACCTGTAGCCTGACATGTCCACCCATCCTACCCCAGACAGGCAGATGAAGGTCTGTTCACTGATGCTCTCCTCGAGTGTCTAAACCACAGGTCCGTGGTTTCATGTGCATTTCTCAAAGGAAGTGTTGAGCAAAGAAAATCAACTGGGTTTAGTAATACACAATCCCCCCTCCCTGCCCCCACTGCAAACCCGTGTTTTCATGAGCCAGTTTCAGGGGAAAAGTTCACTGTGGACATTCGCCCTGTATATTTTATCCTTGCTGAGATACTGGGAGAGCTGCTGATCTTAAATATTGCCGTCTGTCACTTAACTAACATGTACCCTTCATAAAGAACAGAGCGATCCACCAAGCAGCTCTAAGCACATTCATTTTACTTTTAGAAAATAGCTCATTTTTCTTCTTGCTACATGTTGCGGCCCAGCCGAAACAAGGGCTTTGCTTGTACCCACCAACGAAAATATGTAGCTCAGATGATGGAAGATTAGGGAAGACTCCAGAAAAGACCTGCAGGTCAGCTGATGGTTATCTGCTGCTCTCAAACTTGGCCCAGATTTCACCTGTCCTGAATTTGTCTTTTAAACCCCAACATTCCATTTTAGGATTTCACCGAGTTCAAATCAGTCTTTCATGATAGGTGCATTTCCTTTTCTAAAGCTGATTTTAAATATCAAACTTCGATTTCTAGCCGGCCATTAGATGAGGACAAATTCAGAATTCCTTTCTAAAGCACATACTAAAATGTGGTCTTTAGTTTTACCTCAGAGGATTGCCCTAAACTGAACTTGTTTGATACTAGGTAGTCGATTGAGTTCATTTTGATACCTACAGCCAATGTGCTGAACCACCACCCTTTATTTTGAGATGATGTGCAATAAATTAAAACCCATTAAGTTTCCCAGCCCCCTTCTTCCAACAATGGAAGCTGCTCCAAATGCAGATATTTTCCTTCAATCTTTCACGTAACCCGCGAGGAACTCACAATCACCTTCAGATGACCTCCCAATCTTTTGCTATAGATATTATCCATACCCCAGTGCGATGATGTCAATGCTCTTCATGTTTCTCACCATCTATGTCCCAGTGACCAAGAGGCCGGCATTTTTGCAAAGGTTGCAGGACCCATTCAACTAATCCCTCCAGACACCAAACAGACAAGCCAGTCAGGTTTTAAAACTTTTTATTTGCATATTAAAAAAATTGTGCATTCCAATAATTAAAATCATTTGAACAAAAAAATGGCACTCTGATTAAACTGCATTTTACATCCTGTAGGACACCTTGGACCATCTTGAATTTAACTCTATATTTCACCGCCTCCCACCCAACTTTTTCCTTCGCCAACATGCAAGGTCTTTTCCCTCCCTGCCAGCCAGCCAGCCAGATGGGTGGGAGAGGCAGGGGAGGCCTTCCTGGTCAGTAGTTCTGAATCTGCTGTGAAAGGGGCAGCGCAGTCATTTAAACTTGATCCAACCTCTTTGCATCTTACAAAGTTAAACAGCTAAAAGTAAAATAAGAAGGCAATGCTTGTGGAATGTACAGTGCATATTGGCGGCGCTCATCTCATTACGATTCGCCAGCTTGCTTCTCCTGTTCAATCACTGAAGAAAAAAAAAAGAAGATGGAGGCTTAGTGCACTCTACAGAAACACGATATTTTCATTTAAAAATCTCTTTTCATGTTATAAAAATTCTAGGTTACATAGGTTGCTACGATGAGGAAGTCATTAAACATAAGTACAGTTATTCAATAAATATATTTGCATAAATATATTTTTGCATAAATATATTTGCATAAATATATTTGCCGCCCTTATTACTACATATGGCGCCCACGTGGACAACTGCTTTCACATAAAGCCTGAGACAGCTTGGGAAGTAATTCTAGAACAAAATGAAAGCATTGTGCCTGGTTTCTTGGTAGCAGCAATTTCTCGGTTCTACTCTGCTTGCTAGAGGCAAGCATGCGCTTTCATCTAAGAGAGGCTTCCTGACTCAGCTTTAGCTGCAAAGCCTGCAGCTCATTAAGAGGTCCTGCCACGAAACACTTAAACGGTGTTGACAAAAAGCTGAACGCATGCTTTTCGGTTTTCAGCCGTAGCAGGAAAAAAGCTGCGCCGTTTAAAAATGCCGGCTTTCTGGGCCATCCTGCCAGGGCAAACTCTGACTGTTTGAGGCAGGAGGGCTGGCTACCGAGAGAGAGGACTTGAGTGTTGTCTGTTGTAGCTCACTTGCTGGCAGGGACCTTGAAATGCCATACAGTTGTTGCAGTAAACATGGCTACAGCCTGTATATCCGCCATGAGGCTGGAAAGCTAAGGAATGGAATGGATCTAGCTGGCAAAGCCACGCCTTTAATCTTACTGATATTGCATGGTAAATTAAAGACTCATGTGGTCAGAAAAAGAGAGATATACAGTAAAGAGAGATTCAAAGACAAAGAAAATTTTTAAATGGTTTACAGTGTGTTAAAAATATATGCAGACTAAAAGTTGAAGTTCTTAAAGTAAAAAAAAAAAAAAGGAAGAGAGTTGTTGTGTGTGGTAGCACACGCCTTTAATCCCAGTGCCTAGAAGGCAGAGACAAACAGATCTCTGTGAGTTCAAGGTGTAGTAGTGTACACCTTTAATCCCAAATGCCTGGGAGGCAGAGACAGGCGGATCTCTGAGAGTTCAAAGACAGCCTGGTTTACAGAGTTACTTCAGGTCAAAGATACAGAGAACCTGTCTCAAAAAGCAAAGAGTTAAAAGTAAAAATAAACAAAATAGAGGTTAAAACAAAGCTGCACAAAGATGGAAAATACACAGAGAATCTTGATACTGTATGCTATTATGCTCTCTTTGAATTGTTTGAATGCTGAGGAAGAAGCAACAGCTGCTAAAAGATATTTATTGATAAATGCTGCTGAACTAATCCGACATAGATATTTTGATGCCTTAACTTTGAAATTTGGATCTAAGGACATGATGCTTTGGAAAGGAGTTTCTTATTTTGTTTTCACAGAGGATGAGACGCTGTTCATTTCTTCTATTCCGATTTGGTATGATGGACCACGCCCTCCTGAAGGGTTGCAGTGAACATCTTCAGAAAATTGCTTCGCTCAACTGCCAACTGAGATGAAACTAGCACACAGGTTATACCATGAAAGACCTAATTAACGACGCCCCCATTCAGCAGGAAGCAGTTTGGAGAGAAAAAACTGCGCCCATGTTCCCAAATATGGTTTATAAACGTCCTTTTACATTTAAAGGGGGATATGATATAGATATGAATAATTTACATTAGTATAGATTTTGCTTTATTGATAGAAATTTAAGGTCAATTTTGTTATATGTATAAGTGTTTCTGATTTTGATTAAGGTATTGTGATTGTGTAGTTCATTAAAATATGTACTGTATAATTGAGAAATATAGGTTGTTAATGGATAATCATCAATAATAGTAAAGCTTGTAGTCATGTTAGTTAGATTTTCTAGATATATAGAGATATATTTTAGATAGACATTCTTCGTGTCTTTCAAAGATTACAGAATAGGACATTTAATGTTTTAATAACTGAGGACTTTTCATGACAATGAGACACTCTGCTCCTGGCAGCACCAATCTACTTCAAGAGGAAGATGGGCATCGAAGAGGCACCTTATGGAGTTTGATAGCCATTTGGGCAAGAAACTGCTCTTGCCTGGACTATTGCATAAACTGGACACAGAGAACCCACAGAGAGAGGACTACTGAACTTGCCTAAGGTGAGATGATCTTTCGGGGTTCCTGATTCATGAAAGAGTCTGCGAGACATGCTGCAGGACACAACAGATAGTGACTGAACTGACTTTGAATTTTCCTGCTTTATGGAAATGTCTGCTGGATACCATGGGCCTGAAGGCTGAAGATGGATGCCCCAACGGTACAAAAGAACTTTGGGTGACTGTCCAGGCAGCGAGATGTCTCTGCCATTTCTAGAGTTTTAAAAGATGCTTTTTTTCTTGTTTGCTTAGGTAGTAATATATCTTTCTGGAGTCTTTGATGGAGTTAAGAATAGTTAGTTATAGTTATAGTTTTCCTTAGTTATGATAAAGATTATTGTAACTTTTACTTGATAACTGTTTTGTTATATGTAATTTTGCTATGTTAAAGCCTTTTTTTTGTTTAAACCGAAAAAGGGGAAATGATGGAGGAAGGTCATTGGCTAATAAAGGCACTGCCCTGGCCCATTTTATTGGTTAGAGGATAGGTGGGAGGAGTAAACAGAACAAAATGCTGGGAGGAAGAGGAAGTGAGCTCAGAGACTCGACCTCTTTCCTCGCGGGAGCAGACGCCTGAGAGAGACGCCATGCCCTGCTCCCGGGATGAAGCTCGGACCCAGGATGGACTAGGCTAGAATCTCCCCGGTAAGCGCACCTTGGGGTGCTACACACAGATGATTAGGAATGGGCTAAATTAATATGTGAGAATTAGCCTAGAAGAGAATGGGCCAGGCAGTGTTTGAAGGAATACAGTGTCCGTGTAATTATTTCGGGGCATAAGCTAGCCATGTGGGCGGCCGGGTGTGGGGGACGCAGCCCTGCCGCCCCATATTACTACAGGTTGCTACGATGAGGAAGTCATTAAACATAAGTACAGTTATTCAATAAATATATTTGCATAATATGCCTATGAAATATTCCCTTATTAAATCACTAAAGCCCAGCGTTTGTTGGCTGCAAAACAGTTTTTAATTAACCTTTGCAGGCCATATTCATCATCATCAAACTGTCGGCTCCTCCCCCGCACCACCCCCCATCCTCTCCGCAGCCCCTCCCTTTCTCCTACCCGTCTGCTCCGCTCCCGCCCAGCCTGTTCTGAAGATGGGTGGGGGCGAAGAGCTTACTTTCTTTTGAAGGCAGAGGATTTTTCTCTTGCGTTTCTGTCTTCTTCAATTTCGACTTACCGAATTTCTCGATCTCAGCCATATCGGGTTTGTCAGACATGGTTGCCGGAAGGAGCTGCAGGTAAAAAGCCAAGACCAAGGCTAAGAAAGAGCCACCCGCCCTCGCCTCTCCCAGCTCCGAAAGCACCTTCTCCTACCCCCGACCAGAGGTTCCAGCTTGAAATCCTACTTCCTCCCTTCCCTTCCTCTTCCATTCCTGACTAAAGACTTTCAGCTCTTTCTACAGGGGAAAAAAATCTCCCTTACTGTTCCCAATGTGAAAAATCAAAGAGCGAAGGTGGCTCTCAAAGGTATTTCTGTACAATGAAATTCATCATTGCGGGATGTTAACTGCAATGTTGAAATATTAAAATCGGGTTAGAATGAAGCTACTTCCAGCTTTAGTGGGGGGAAGTCGAGTAAAAACTCTTAAAATAGAGTCAAGGTCGCAAAACGCACCTACAGTTTCTACATGGGCTTGCTCCCCAAAAAGATGCCAGGCGGCCCAGCTTTCTCCTCCGCACAAAGGCGGGAGCTGACCTGAGCAGCCGCCGACCACCGCCCTACTTGCTTCCTCTCCTCGCTCAAGCCCAACAACGCAGCCGCAGCCGAGGCACCCAAAGCTGCCTTCCCCACTTCTCGCAATTGCATCCTGATCTGCATGCAGGGCCCTTCGACCCTCTTTGCACACATTTCTCTGCAAGGACTTCCCAATTTTCAGGCTACAGCTCGGGTAGGTTAAGCCTGCCAGATAACAGCCCTCGAAGCCATCAGGCGTTCAGGAGACTACAGAGCATTAGAACAAAGGATCTATTTCTGATTAATTACAGCCTCCGAGACCAGGAAAAATACTTTAGGGGGTGAGGGTCGAGGAGAGAAAACAATTCCCCTCCAAACTGCGCAGCAAAATGCCCGGTTTTGTGATTTTTAAAAAATCATCAAGTTCCCCTTTCCCATTACTCAGCATCTGGAAGAGTTTAGCATCCCCCCCCCCCTAAAATCCCCAAAACAACCTGGCCTGGGAGTAGTACCCCTTGGACTCGCTTTAAGGATGAGGACGGGCAGGGAAGCAGAGGACAGAAGGAGGAAGGGGCCCTGGGGCTCACCCAAGCGAGGAGCGCGAACAAAGGAAGTCCTATCTGCCCAGAGGCTGCTGCCGATTGTCGGGAGGGGCGCAGCGCGCGCCGCTATATGCGCGCTCCTATGTAAATGAGGTGACGTCACTGGCAGTCCCGCTTAACTCCTTCGCGCCGAGTCTCCGGAAAGGGGTTTGGAGGCCTGTCGGACCCTCCGTCCCCCATCCCATCCATCAGGCCCTCGACCCACATTTATGGCGGAACTAGAAAAGGAACAAACGCCTTCAAAATGCGCCCCCCCCGAGGTGTATTTTATTATAACGAACTTTTGCAACAACCGCCCAAATCTGTTCTGAAGGTTAAATTCACGATAACTAAGGTGCCTGGGTGGCACCTAAGGAGACAGGCATTCCTTTACTTCGAAACTGGCTTTGTCTGCAGCCAGCGTCCCCCAAGATAGGGTGCGGTGTCCCTCACACAAGGGCTGCTGGGGTCTGATTGCCATGACTCAGCTTTTAGACCAGTGGACCGCACTCACCCCACCCGGCCCTCTTTGTCTTCCTCGGCTGTTTTCCCCCTTGATTTGAGAGGGCGATAAAGGATCCTTGAGTGATTTTTTTTTAAAGAAAAGTTTCAGCATTGAAGCATCTGTATCGTGTATGATAATTTTCGTGAGCACTCAAGTCAGATAACTAATACTTGCTCATGGTAAGGTAATTGGGAGTTTTATAGAATACACAGCCTCCTCAAAAATTAACTCAAATTCAACTTCTGCTATTGAGCGACAATAAGGAAGTTGATTTCCTTTTTCTTACTTTCATTAATTAGAAGGGATTGCTAATGAGAACCAAGGATTTCTGAAGACGACAATTCCACTCGCTCCTGCTATCTGAAGACTGAAAGAGAGACGCGAACTCGGTTTTGAGGGGGAAGGTTTCGGCAGTTCGTGCGGATGAGACAGGTAGAGAGGTGTGGGTTTCAAAATGGCACCGGAGTCGGTGAGTACCAGGGACCTGCTTGCTACTAAAAAGTAATTACAGGTACCAAGCTTGGGTCTCCAAGAGGTGGGTGACAGGAGGAAGCTACACAGGTTCTAAAAAGGCATTGTTGGGATTCTTTCTGAGACACAGAAAACTACAAAAGATTCCTTCTCCTTTTCTGTGCCCTGGGGTGGGGGTATTTCCAGAAGCCCTTTGCTAAGCATTTTTATGATAGAGGTTTTGCCTCTCTGGGAATGAGTCAAGGGTTATGAGGGAGCCTAAACTGCCTCTGCTCCAGCAGCTTGGACTTCTCCATTTCTTCATCCACTTCCCTTTTACTGGGGAGGAAGGAGATGGGGGTAGGCAGGGGAAGGTGACCCCTCTGGTTTCCCAGTTAATGCTCTGCTTGGGCTTGTGCGGCTGCCTTCCTGCCCTTCGAATGGGGGCCCTGGACCTCTTTGAGCACGCATGAGATGTCACCTCTCGGGAAAGACAGCCCCTCCTGCCCCATGTTCACTTGCAGGCCTAGCCCACTGCATTGTTGAAACCCAGAAAAGATCTTGCAGGGTGCATTCCTGGACTCTTGCTGCCTCCTTTGCCTTAGGAAAGGTTACAGAAGTCATCTCGCCAGAGGAGATGGGAGAGTGGCGTCTGGAAACATCTGGAGTTTCCTCCTTTGGTAACAGGCTAGCAGGCAGCTGTTGTTTGTAGCTGTTGCTGGAGAAAGAGCAGGTGGGTGGTTAGAGAGGGAAGCCACGGGCTGTGGGAACAGAGTTCACAGTAATGGGCTTGGCTGGCCCACCCGACAGGAACATCGGAAGGGAAGGGTGCTAAGGAGAAAATGAAAGGCAAACGAAAAGAATGGTCTTAAAAGTGGTGGACTCCTCGTGTCAATCATTCTTTTCGGAACGCCTCTGAAAAGTGGACAAATGACAGTAACTAGCGGTTAGAGTTGTGGGAAGACCAAGTTCTTGGGACCAAGCTTTACAATGGCAATCACTTTATCCTGCTCTCATTTAAAATGGAAAGTTGAGAAGAAAAGAAAATAATAAACGTTTTAGTGTTTGCCATTAACAAAAACCTCAGGTGATTTGCAATTACTTCTCTTATAAAGAGACATTTATATATTTCGTTGTATATTTCTACATAACTAATACATGACTATATTACTTCTCTAACAAATTGCCAATAAAAATGAGATATGTTGTTATTTTATAGCAAACTAAAAATAAGTCCAATTCTGGAGACGTAACTCAGTTGGCAGAGCACCTGCCAAGCATGCACCAAGCTGTGGGTTCAGTCTCCAGCCTGACATAAACCAGGCATGGAATGACATGCCTGAATTCTCAGCTTTTGGGAGGTAGAGGAAAGAAGATCAGGGATTGCAGGTCCTCCACAGTGAGTTTGAGGCCAGCCTGGGTTGTAAAGCAGAGTGGTCCTTGAGTCTTAGAAGACAGTATTTGCTCAATAAACCAGGCTCGCACTGCTTTGGTTGCGTCCTCGGTACTTGAATTCAGTTCCCGAACCAAAAACTCCAATAACCATGTTTACATCTCAGACAGTTGAATCTACTTAGTATTAACTTCCAGATGTCAGGGATAATTGCTGCTTCAGGGAAGGAAACATTTATAAGTAGATTAGCATATGCTGGGCACAATAACCACTGAGGTGGGAGTTTTCAATTCCAATTAAAGTGATGAAGCCATGGTGAGGCAAAAAAAAAAAAGATTGCTTTCAAAGGCACTGGTCACTTCAGCTGCAGGGTGCATTCTGACCTCAGGGCCCTCCAGGGAAAGGCAAGCAAAGAGCCCACCTGGCAACTGCTTTGCCTCTCTCATCTACCAGGCCATGGCACTCTGTGAGACAAGTACCAACAAGGTGGCCCCTGTCCAAGGCCATGCCCCACAGAACCAGGAAGCAGCGTGAGCAGACGCTTTGTTTTCTTTTGCTTTCCAGTGTGGGCCTGGGCCAAAACTGTGTGTACTTCCAGTGATGAAGAAACAGCCATTGAAGTCTGAGCTCATAAAAATGAGTCCTGCGATTCTGAATTTATGTAGTTTGGGGCGGAGCGCTAGTCCGAAGGAAAAAGAGGAGGAGCCTTACAACAGGGAATGCAGCGAGGCTCTCAGTTATTTGCTTGTTCAAACCCCACTCCTTTTGTCTGGTTCAGGGCCTCCAACCATCTGCCCCACCTGCCTGCAGCCCACACTCCCCTGGGGTTCCTACAATTGCCACCTTTCCTTTAAACTCTCCCTTACAGCTAACTCCCGCCTCCCTTGTACCCATGAGAATATAAATCCCCTTGCACAGCCCGGGGTCCCTTGGAAACAAGGAGAAGAAAAGACAAAGGAGGGAAAGGATCTTCAAAATCTCGTCCTAGCTCGATTTTGTAGTTCCGGGAAGCCTTTTAAAGTAGGACTCAGTTCTCATCCTTCGCAGCAGGTACGGACTTCCTCGTTTTACTACAAAAGAAACCGAGGCTCATAGAGTTTTAGCAATTTTCTCTGAATCAAACAACCAGTTTGAAGTTTATGTCCTTCCCTTGCGGCCCACTCCTGTCACGGGGTTCACTGAAAGGGATCTTTCTCCAGCGATTTCCGCTATTCTTACCCACAGCAGCTCCACGTTGTGGCTCCAGGAAGATGGAACAAAGGGCTCCCCCTGCCAGCGTGAGAGAAATCAGTGGAGGAAAACCGGCAAGCACAGACAGAACCAAGAAGCCCCAGTGTGTGTGCAGCCCTGCTAATTGCCCTGCCCTCTCTATTGATCTGATTCAGTTTCTGCGCCTGCTTCATTCTGCAGCTTGAGTTCGCCTCTACAACATCCCCTCCAAGTGGTTATTCAGCCTCTAAATAGCCAGGGGAACCGGCACAGAAGTGCAGAAGCTGTGAGTCTTGTCCAGAGCAATGAGTCGTTTGGTTTGGCAAGGGACCTGCATAGGAGGCAAGACAGTGGCAGGAAATGTTGAGAGGCAGGTAGGCACCAGGCTGAAGAATAATAATAACTGGGAGCATGGCAGCAGTAATAATAATATGATATAATTATATGATAAATAGGTGTCATATAATAATACATACATACACGATGTATAATTTATAAATATATACAAAGATCAGAATGATATAATAACAATAAGAGCAGCAGAAAGAGCCAGCATTTTCTGAGTGTCTACTTTCTCTTGGGAGCTCTCCCTGCAGTATCCCACAAGACCTCCTTAGAGGCCCATTATGTCCCTTACCTTGTAGATAAAGGCGTTGTAGAGAAATTAAGTAATCTACTAGCAAAACCCAGTGATGTGGTTGAGATTCAATGGAGCTATCTTAGAAATGGACTCATTTATATGCTACATTTTTCTAGCATTCTAAGGTCTTCAGGCTGCCTTTGTAGACTAGCTAGGAATAAAGCTATATCCTATCTCAATAAAGCCTTCTCCTTAACATACTTAAGGCTTTGGTAGAGGGCTCAGTGGTAGCTCATCATTAGGGCGTATGCGTAGCATGTACAAAACTCTGGGTTTAGTCCTCAGCACCCCAAAACAAAAACAAAAATAGCACACTTTAAAATATAAGAACTTGGGCTGGAGAGATGGCTCAGCAGTTAAGAGCACCGGTTGTTCTTCCAGAAAATTAGGTTTAAGTCTCATCAGCCTCATGTTGACTCGGAATTATCTGTAATTCCTGTCCCAGGGAATCTGACACCCCCTTCTAGATTCTGGCTTCTGTGGATACCAGACTCTGATACCCCCTTCTAGATTCTGGCTTCTGTGGGTACCAGACATATATATGGTGCCCAGACATATTTGAAATTTAAATAATTAAATTGTAGATACTATGTAAGCTGACAATGGTGTCATATGCCAGTGATTCCAGCCATTGGGAATGGAGACAAGAAGATTGTACATTCAAGGCCGTGCTCAGCTCTGGGTGTCAAAACTTTGCTTTGCCTTTTAGTTGTTGTTGTTGTTTTTCTCATGGTGCTGTGATTCGAACCCAGGGCCTGACACATGCTA